TTTCTCACCACTTAAAAACCACACAACTATTTCCTCTAATTACCGTGAACTTGATCAAAACCAATTTAGGAACTATAGATGGGTCTGCCTCCCTGATTCACTCTTTGGCAAGAATAGAGTCTGTGAGAAATGAATATTCTACCAAGAAAATACATATTTTATATTGTTCCAGTCCCTACCTAGTCTTAGTGACCCACAATCTTGTATTGATGTATAAGTAAAATGAATATCAACCAATCATGTTGGCAAAACCAAAAGACCAAGAATACAGTTGAAAAGTACTGATGCTGTCCACAAAGAGAAAAAGGAGGCTTAACCCTACCCAATTTAAATGTTACCTACTCGGGCAAGCTTGTCAGCCTGGCGAGCCAGTGGTGGCATGGGTGGGTCGGGGACTCACGACCCCCGCTGGATTGTGTCTATTTGAACAGAAACTGCTAATTTCCAGGGGGTACGTTGCCTCGTAGTCTTATTTTCTTAGCCAGCAACTCTCAAAGAAAAAAATGCTAAAATCAAATGAAGCTTTTTTTGGAGTGGTGACATCAACAATTGAAGGTCCCCTCGGAAATTAGTTCAAAAAACAACTTAAGGGAGCTTGCTAACGCCTGCTCACGACTACATGGCTATAGCAGGGAATATAGAGTATTCTTTTTTTACACTATATGCTGTATGACAGGGCTTTAAAGAGGATGCGGCAGAGAAGGGTCTGCATAATAATAAATCAACTCCAAATGAATGGACAGGTTGATGTTTAAAATCTTTTTTTCAAAAAACTTGGAGAACAATTTTGACTACCTTCAATGGGTGATTCTATTATAGATACTTTACAAATCAGAATTATGTCACAAAAAATAACAGACTTGGGGAAAATATACGAAAGGAAAACCTACAAAATATAGAAAGGCTTATTGTCATGACATTTTGTTTTGAAACATCGTCTTTAACAAAAAAACACGAATATCCCACATGCTACAAAAAAATTAATGAATGGGATAATGTGCAAGACAATACACACATATCAAGCAACAAATGGGAACTTTGGAGCTGAATGCAATAAGTAAGATGAATGACTCTTGGGGAAACATATGTTTCAGAAGCCCCACAAGGGGGTTGGGAGCCCAAACCTATACAAAGAATTTTGACCTGGAAGGTCAAAAAAGATCTAGGTTCTTCAGGAACCGCCGCTAACAAACTTTGTTTCCGAGAAAGAACAAATCCCAGCAACCAAAAATGCTGGAAGGGAAACTGTGGTATGGTCGGTGAAACCCATCTCAATAAATATTTTTTGGGACTGCCCCGAATTACAAACATTTTTGGAAAAAAATGTTCAAAAAAAAAAGAACTAAGGAAAAAAATTTTTGGCCAGTTTTGGACCTTCACTATGGACCCATTTGTTATTGCTTTATTGAATGTGTTTCCCCTAATCCACCTGTTTACCACAGAACAATGTTAATATATTACATATTTTCGTTTGATGATTGCCAGAAAAAATATTACTAATTTAATTGGATGAAGACCTGACCCTCCCATGATCACTAAAGTGGTTACAGAAGGAGTAAAACATGTTTACATGATGGAAAATGTGACTGCCCAATTACAGCTTAAAAGTACCTGTTCTTTTATGAGAAAGGTGGAACCCCAGTTTACTGTTATCTTGGCCTTCAGGACTCCTTATACACTTCCATGTTATGAAATTATTAATTACTTAGTTATTATTCGATTATGGGCTTTTTTTAAAATTAAAATATCCTTTTTTTGAAGTACAGAACGTAAGATAACTAGATAAGAATATGTGCTATAACGCTTTACAGTGCTAAAATTCTTGTGTGACAAGATGAGACCCCAAACTTTTTTTTGTTGTCGTTGTTTGTTTGTTTGTTTGTCTGTTTTGTTTCTGGTTTTCCCTTTGTTGATGCTAATTTGCTTGTAATCATGCATTTACGGCCAATAAAGTAAAGAAAAAAAAAAAAAAAGTTGTGCTATGCGCGACCTATCTGTGGCATTGCGCCGAAAGTGGCCATTTTGAAACGAATGCTCAAACGGTGATGCCATTTACCGGCATTTTCACGGCTAGAATTTTTAACTAACTCCTCCTACCAGATTTTAATCGGACACTTGGCGAAAATTTAAATTCGATCACTGCAAACCACACACATGATTTTGGTTGATCAAACATTAATCAAATATTGTACTGCGTGCGTCAAACGGCATGTCTTGTTGGCGTCCTATTTCCACGTTTCGCAGTGAAAGTCTCAGCTATGAAAGCGTAAGTTCTTTTTGCACAGTGTCTCCATCGACAAGTAGAGCGGTCTCCCTCCAGCTTCTGGCGATGAGGGCATTGGGAGTGGGGGTGACGGCGCGGCCGCGCCACGCCCCGAGTCGCGTGGAGTGCGAGGTCCCGCCCAATGCTGCTTGCAGCTTTAATTCTTATTTTATTGTGCACCTATGACTTCTTTGTTGACTGGACTGTGACACTAATATAGTCATCCCTGTTACATAATAAGTGATGAAGACCATGTTCTGTTCGTTGTATGTATTTGTTTTATACAATTATATTTTGTGTAAGTGCATTGAATATACGTATGTGTGTTTTTAGGTTTGTGTGTGTGTGGATGTACCACATTAACCTTGACTGAACGAACAGAGGTCCAAATTTAGTTTTTAGCGTGTGTATGTATCCATGCACATACTCGGACTTGTCTTACTTATTTGCTTCATTGCCCCTTTTTTTTTTTGGTCCTAAACTCTGCGTTTACATGGATGATTAGTGCATAAATGCAGTCAAAGTGGATGGAAACCGTCTCTTTTCTTCTCCTTCTTTTTGTCTTTTACGTGATGATGAAACCATATTATTATCACTAACTTGTTGCTGCTGTTTATATTCCCCCAGACACAAATTTTAGAAAAGCACTACAGAATAAGTATATTAATAATTGTGAAAACGTGAATAACACTGATTATCTGGTTATCATGGCACCTGTGAGTGGGTGGGGTATATTAGGCAGCAAGTGAACATAACATTTTGGGCAAGCGTAAGGATTTGAGTGACTTTGACAAGTTTTTTGGGACCACATTAACCTTGACTAAACGAACAGAGGTCCAAATTTAGTTTTTAGTTCCCTTGTTAGTTTTTTTTAAATCTATTGCTCCTGGGACTATTTGGTCAGGGATACTAACATTATTGACAACAAAATGCAAAAATGTTCATTGTGGGCAAACCTCAACCAGGCAGTTAATATGTTTATTCAAGACCTTCATAACGTAAAAAAATTAATGGAATCCAATAGCTGTCTGACGATGTCAGAAAACACAATTCAAAAATCTAAAACCTGAAACTTGAAAAATGGTCAGCATTAATATACATGATTTGTGGATAACTCAAGTAAATATGTCACAGCATTTCCCCTGCAATATTAATTGTATTTGATTGTTTAAATTAAAATACAATATTGACAGATGAAGAAAATGGTTTTAATTTTTATCATATGACATCATCATTGTATTTGACAGCCTCACTTTTTTCACAATTTTATAAATCACTAATTTAATGACTGTTTCACTTCACAAGCTCTTCATCACATTTATTTTTGCCCTTTAATTTTTTGACGTCGTTCCTTCATAGAGAGCCTTCTCCATACCCAATAATTCAACCCATAAGGTCCTCTCAGGGCCTGTGACTAACAATGTGAATCACTGCACTGTTATACACACATTACTCCTATTCACACTGTTAGCAGCAATGACATGTTGTTAAAATATCTAAAAACTGATATACAAATGCAGTCAGTTAAAGATAATATATTGCCATGGCAATTCTGAGGGGCCCCCCAACAATGGAAAACTTGAAAAAGCAAGTCAGAGACGAGGCAGTGAGGCAATGTTTGCCCAGCAGTCAGATCTCGTAAACAGAGAGGGGGGCTTTTGCAAGCAGCTGCAGAAATTCCAGGCTGCTGCGATTAAAAAGTAACACCCACATTGAGGTGGGAGGGTGTTTGAACAAGCTAACCCTACTTCTATTTTAATGAAAAGAGAAAAGCCATGTGCGGTACTCGATTCATTTATATCATGCCAACTAGGCTGACTACACAGCACACAATCACACACAATTCAGATCCTGCTTTCCCTCTTTTTCTGTTTTCCCTTTACAGCCCTCTTACTCCTCTTACTCTCCAGTCCATGTGGCAGCCCACCATATAACTGTAATGGCATACAGTGAAAGAATCCAGGAATGTCATTAAAGCATTTCCAGTGACAGAGCACATTTTAAAGTGAGCTACAGCTGTTAGATGAATATGTTGAGCCAAAGATCCTGGCAGGAGGCTGGGGCCCTGCACAAAAAGAAAAATCTAGCTCCAAGCCATATGGATAATTTTAAGTAATAGGTTTATGGGACCATCATGGGAATCGACTGAGTTTCCAGATCCCTGACAAAATTATACAAAAGTTAAGGTGTAAGCATGTGTCTCTTTCAAAGGGCTGGATTTATGGTCACATTAAAGTGGGGGGGGGGGGCTGATTGTTTTTCAAGACAAGCCCTAAAACAAATGGCTCAAAAACACTGAATAAAGATCAACGAACCATACCAGTGGTTTTAGCACTCTTACTACATTTCACTGTGTACTGTACAATACAGTTAGTTAACAGTTATGAACTTCTTTTATAATAAAATTGTTACTATTAGAGAGAAAATTAGTC